AAACCAGGGACCAGATTAGCAGCATCCTCGTTCACCGCCCTCAATCTCCCACAACATGGCGTAGCTTGGCAATGTTCAGCCATAGACAACTTGACAAGAGGCTGGCAGAAAAGAGGAGGGCTCTCAAATGTTGAATTGTGCTAAATTTTATGGTGGCCAGGTTACATCTTCTGGGCTGGGTGATACGGCCGCATATGACCAAATCTACCCGAGATGCCGATCTAGCGCGAACCTTGAAAAGGAAACCCCAAAAGATGCTGAGGTAATCCATCATTGGAAACTTGGATCCTTTGGGCAGCCCTTCAAGGGTAGTCAAGATAAGGTTCTGCCCTAAACTCGACCTGGAAGATTACTGCGCTGGGGCCAATCATAGTGCTCACTTTTATTTTAAGCATGAATCTTTAGCGGCTTGGCACATGATAAAGGGTTGGAGGTTTACTCCGTCTATATAGCAGATATGCAGTAAACATTCAAAGGATTTTTCTTCATATAGTTCAAGGCGAGTCAACATAGGTTTCAAGATGCCACAGCGGAGCTCTACTCACTTGGCAATTGACCGGATACAACAGACTGTTCAATGCTTGAAAATTGTTAAATTATGAAGAATATTGGCAATATAAATAGTAGGCAGTTTGTACCAATGGCTGTCATATCGTCTGCTTTCATGAGGCAATGCACCTTCTACAATTCATTACAGTATATATCAAGCTGCCACCCACTTTGATCCCCATCTTCCTACACCAACTATGGTAAAAGCAGACCGCCCAGCGGCCAATGCCTTCGTGGCAGCAGCCAGGAAAATTTACAACCCTGTTGGATTTTCCAAGGGATATAACTTCATCCTCTTCTTCATCTTTGCAGGGGCTTTGATGGGATTCACTCTTGCCAGATTACAATATCTCGATTACTACGGCATATTCTGCGGCAAGCCAGGCATCGGCGAGTGTTACTTTTTTACCAAAGACATTGAGGAGATTGGTCTGATTGTGCACCTTGCCACAATTCTCCCAGCCGCATTCCTCGTTGTCTTCCAATTCGTCCCCGCCATCCGACACAAGTTTATTATCATTCACAGGATCAATGGCTATTTGATCCTTATTCTGTCAATAATTAGCACCATCTTTTCTTTCATGGCTGCTAAACATTCCTTCGGCGGTGGTCTGGAGACACAAACAGGGGTTGGCTTCATAGGAATTTCGTTCATTGTATGTTTGGTTTTGGGATACATTAATATCAAACGGTTGCAACTCGAGCAGCACAGGGCTTGGATGCTCAGAGCATGGTTTTACGTACGTTGTCATTCATACTGCTTCTTTTTCCTTAATACAGTGCTTACTGACAACTCCTTTGCTTTTTTCTTTCTCGCTTTTCTTAGGCCTCGTCCATTATAACCCTCAGGCTCATCATGGTCATTATGGCAATTATAATTAGCTCAGGGGGTGAGTACTACAGTGCCAAACTGTGCGCACAGGTTGATTACACGATTGGAGAAAAGCGAACGCGGACCCAGTACCCTGAATGCAATGTCTTCTATTCCGGTGAAGATCTAAACAAACAGGTTCTGGTTCAAGCAAAATACGGAGGAGGTGGTAGTGCAATTACCGCTGGTGCTGCTTTCGGTCTCTCTTTCGGGGCATCGTTGTGGTTAGCGTTTGCCCTTCACGCCATTGGAATTGAAATCTATGTAAGTTCTCAAAATTCCCCTGCTCTAAATCATAAGCCGCCACCACTACATCCTCTTATTTAAACCTTCTGTTGAAATGCTGCGAAAGCTAACGACATTTGTCCTACTGTAGCTTCGCCTGACCCCCTTCGAAGCCGAAAGACTTCGGAATGTATCTTACCAACGACAACAAGAAGCTGGCATGGTGAATCCGGGCCGTGCTGGATTGACAGCTGACCGTCTTGGGGACTCAGCAATATGGACTCCGAAGTATAGTGCCTGTGCACCAGATGATGAAAGTAATGGAGCCTCTCCGGCAAATGGAAAATGAAATTAACCGATCTGCAAGGTACGAGTACCTTAGTTGTATATTTAGTTTATTTTTTTCTTTTCTTTTTTTTGTTTGTTTTATATACATATTACTCCGAGAGTCCTCCTCACTAGTAGTACTATTTAGAAGACATACGGCAGAACCTCTATATAACAATGCCCTCGTATAACGAATCCTTTATACTAGTATAACAACCAAAAATCTCTCTCAAAATTAAATCTTTATATAAAATATTCATTAATCTCTATTCTACAAAATTGATTAAATTCTCTCTCATATTTCATTATAATTTGTTATATTCAGATCAAAATGTTACATTAATGTCATGCCATAGAGCCTGCCGGACCCTTGGCTCTTAACCACTAGGCTACGAACGACCATAAAACAACTGGCTCCATGCCAGCCGCGCCCGGCACCCATTGATCTAGTCCGGGGCCTACCCTTACACCTTAGCGCATGTTTGTCAATCTTATTTTTTTTTTTTTTTATTTTTATTTTTTTTCCGTTTCTCCTCTACGAAGTTCTTTTCTTCTTTTGGCCAACCAGTACTAGAAGCCAGCGTGTCACTAACACACACAAAAAGATTCTAAAGCCAATCGAGTCGAGCTAGCTAGTCCACAAACAGGAGTTGCTACCCAACCTTGCAATCCAAAGACGATGATGATAAGAATAGAGAAAGTCATTCGATTGGCTCCCAATCGCGCCCCTCACTGGGTAATGGATGCATGGATAGCACCTTCATAATTCCCTCGATACTATCACAAACGAAGCTAGTATGCATGCCTCCTCGATGCTTAGCCTCCAGGGAGTTATCGCATTGCATCAACACAAAATCCCTTTTAACCATTTATTTTCCGGCGTCCGCCTTGGCACCGCGCATGAATGAGCCGAACCTGGAAGATTAGTGCTTCGGGCTGCCCCATCCTCATCTCGACCTGTCGGTTTTCATTCTAATTAGAGGTAGCGCGAGATTAATTGAACCATATTCTTCTTCGCCACACCGAAGTACTACTAGGATGGAATCGTTGTCATACCTGCCCAGCCAGGTGCACCGGGAGGGAACCCCTGAAATAGCTAGCGGAAGCGTTTTCGGAAAGCCTGTTGTTCAGCTCCTCAGAACCCTCTTCGACACGTAAAGGTCGTACGCGGGTTTCTATTCAGATATCGCCAGGGGAATACTACAGGCTAAACTCTAAACCAACCCTGTTTTGCTAGGATAGTCGTGGAGTGGGCATTTAGAACTTTTAGTAGTTACTAGAGTAAATTTTGTGCAACAAATTCATTAAGAAAAACATAACCATGTAGGAGCACTCCGTACATATGGAAACCGCTCCTCCTCTACGGAGGGAGTACTCCGTAGACAGAGCAAAGAGTGAGAGAGAACGAATCGCCACCCCACAGCTCAATGCATATTTTAATCCACTCGGGGCTTCCGTCGCTTCCAGGGAGTTTTGACAATTTTTTCCCACCCTTTTTTCGGGGTTTGGGGTTTGTACTTTTGGCGACTTTTGGGGGTTAGGGCCACCAGCGCTTGCAACTTCTACTCCGTACTCCGTGCTCCGTACCAATAATCCGTACACAGTACGGAGTACTCCAAAGTTAAACTTAGTTCTTCGCCTTATGAGCCCTACACTTTTCCTACCTAGGCAAAGGGTGGATAACTGCCGAGACGGTAAATGGCTCGGTCACCGAGGGTGTGCCATGCCGACCGAGACGGTGAGATGGCCGCTACAGACGAACTTGTTACTCTATACGGAGTTCGGCGTACTGGGTATATGCTAGTACTATGTAACATAATTCCCATTCGAGCGAAACACCTCAAAATATAACTATACAAATTTCAAGTTTTTGCTACCTTGTATCTCAATTTATAAACTCTATTTCAAAGTATTTATAGAGGTGGCTAATATGTGCTAGCAGAGATAGAGAAAAAGGGTCATAACTTCAGAATTATTTATTTTCATTGACTAATTTCTCTGAGATAGAGGAAGTTTTCGATTTTTATAGCTTAAACTTGTTTTATAGTGATTCTATGTAAATTGGTTGAGATATAAAGGCAGCAACAAGTTGAAATTTGTATGTATTTCGAGATCGCTTGCTTGCCTGTTTGGTATTACCGTCAAAGCCACTGTGTAAAAGACCCTTAACTTGCCTCCAAGGGCGTGCTTTTTTGGCCGCGTGGTTAGGTCTGACACTCCCGAAGATTAACCTGCGTTAGTGGATTGTTATTAGTTAACTACAGACTACGTACGGTACTGTACGTGACTTAATTTGCTTGGTTCTTTGTTACCTGTCACACCAGGGGCAGGGGTTGACACCCAAAATCTGCTCCAGATATCACCCACCCGCACGACAAATCTACATGTTCATCACTTGGGCAAATAGAGGATGTTCATCCGTAAGATCAAAGAGGTAGCCTACTGCTTCAGAATTTCTGTTTTCCTCAATTTATTTCTTCCTCCGGATTTTTTTTTTTTTTTTTTTTTAAATTTCATTTTTGCTAAAAGGCCATATGCAATCAGAGATTATCATGGCCTTCACCACTAGCTTGCTTGATTTCAGCTACTTTCAAGTTAACTAGTTAGTTAACTACTCCGTACATTTCCTCTATTAATAAACAGCCATTCTTAATGAAGAGATTTCACTATACCATTCTGGATCTAGCTTTCAAGTCTGTTGCTTGCGAAACTCTACGCAGTCTCTTGACACTCTAACTACTCCGTAGATATGTAAGGATCAGGTTCTCGAATCCCACATTATACTATATACATAAGTGTTAAACAGTGTTCCACTCTGCAGTGGTTTCATCAACAGAAAATGAGATAAGAAAGAGTACCCCCGTGTCCTACAAATGTGGTAATATCCTGTTTGAAGAGGGTGGGATTTGAACTCACTATGTTCTGGTCTCAGCAGTGGTGGCCTCAACACCAAGTGCCTACTTGAGAGAGTATTCCACAGACAACGCTTACCGCTACGCTATCCACCTGCCCTGAAATTCTAAAATGTTGGACAATCAGGGAATCGAACTCCCGGCCACCCCAAATTGTTAATTCCAATAGAAATCGGATGCTAAGGAGGTATTGTACCACTAAACCAATTGCCCAAGGCTTGGTTCGTTCCGGTTGTTACCACACGGGTAGGATATACCCTTGACCATGTACTACTAGTACTAGTACTATTCGAAGCAGAATATGTCATCCGAGTCCAGCTGTTCTGTGTGTATTCCAGACCCTCTTTCTCCAGTGTTGACTGGTGGTGATTGAGCTCTTTTGCCCCAGTAGCTGAGAGAATAACCCCTTCGATCCATATATTCGGGTTGCTCTTTCTTGGAATATAGTACACTTTCTTTTGATCCAAGTCTACCAATTTAGTCGCCAAAAAATCGTTGTCGAGCATCTGAATTACGTCCAATATAGGTTGTTAATCATGTCGATTGTGGCCATATCAGCGGCCCATACTTCAAGAACGTCATGAATTCGCCAGCACCACTCTGCCTTCTACGGCGAGGTAGGGCCCGTATGGGTGAGGAAGCAGCACAAAACATTTTCCAGAAGCCCGGATACACACCAGCATCTTCTCAAACCAGAAGTACGACGTCGAATGGTCGATATGCTTGACCGTCCTCGGCGGGGCCGCATCCTCCGCAACCACAAGATTATTCAGCAGGACCGTCCAATGTGTCAATGTGGGCCGGTGATCTTTCAGTACACGTGCGGGGTAGATTTCATAGGCGCGACCTCTGAAATCTAACCAAATATTTTAAGTCAGCCAAGTGCTCGATAATTGGCTCCTGAGCCCTTCAATGCAGGCGTCTTCTCCATGAAATGACGCCAAAGCCCAGCGACCAACTTTTTGGCTCCAAAATACTAGATAATGAGACAACGTCGCTACTATCCAAGCTTCCAAAACGGGGGAGTATGGACAGTTAACCTGCGGTACAGTGTCAAATGATTGACCGAGTTTGGCGACAATTCTGCCTTTCTGAGATTGGGTTAATGGCGGCCAAATAGGATTAAGAGGTACCTTTGTGCACGTTGCATAAATAATAAGAGATGGTTAGAGTCGCGGTGGATCGCGTATAGTTCACGGGAGGAACGTCAGGGACGTGTCGTTCGAGGCATATCAGAGGCTCTCCTTCACTATCCCTTAGGCTCGTGTCAGATTTAGCAACAATGCCGTCGTTTACCCCTACAGTGTTGGAGGCTGGGGGGAATCGATGTGATATATTATTGGGGTATGCCCGGATCTCGTCTGGAATGGATAGAGTGCAAAGCTTAGCGAGTCACTCTTGAAGAGGAGAACAACTGGACCCCATATCATGAGAGAAGAAGAAGGCTGAGACAAGCTCTGGGAACAGAGATATAATGAACTGTAGTCCTTTGTGCTCATGAATCAAGGGACACGCCTCGTAGCTGACCAAATAATGGAACAGGAAGTAGGTAGGGAAGTCAGATCGACTATCTCTTAAACCTCACTAGATGACCCTAGGTAGGTGCGTTTCGAGATGATATTTTGCCCATAATTTTCCTCAATAAGGCGCAGCCTTCTCCGAAATCCTTCCCAATATCGGATTTTCACCAGCTAAGCCAGAAAGCAGATAAAATCGATGTCGCGGTAAGGCAGAAATAAATATAGGGGAAGAATCAGATGAGGAAATATCTAGCGCCACACAGTCGCCAATGTAGCCATCTGCACCGGCCGTAGTCAAGTCCACTTGCGGCAAACTCTGTTGTCACGATACAGTAACAAGGAGCGCACGAAGTGCAACTTACAGTACCCCCGAGATGACAGTACCGACGTAGTAGGGCTCCTTTTTTATTTTTGAGCTCCAGTGCGAAGTTTGGTTTGTCAAATCATCTATCGCCGTCAGCCAGGACCGACTTGGTTTAGCGGCATAGAACAAGAGCACCTTCTACTCCGTAGGAGCAGTGCATATACTATACAGGCGATGTTTGACGAAATGCCTACCGTGTCTTCTTGACACAGAGGCGACGTTCGAAGATCTTTCTCATGCTGGGCGGTCCGAATATACCAACGACTAACGGTATTCACACACATCATAGCACACAAAAACTAAAATCAAGCAGGGAAAAAGATGCTGTGAGTGGTGAAAGGTCGAACACTCAGGCTGTGCTGGTCAGGTGTTCTGGCAGACCTTGCTCTATTCAATATCGTCCCGCGGCTAGCTTCGGGCGGCTAGCTTGTTCCTGTCCTGGGCTACGTTGACCGTGTGGTTATCCCGATAGAAATGCCACGGGTAGGCAAAGTGGCTCCAAATTGAATGAATCCATGGATAGGCGAGGGGGACAAGGGATCCAGATGGGGATGCGCTTGCCTCCTGAAAAGAACCAATAGCCGCTGGCCTTGGCAGGGACCCGCCATGTTTTGCGCCGCAAGGTGGGGCAGCGGCGCCAAATATCGGCTTAGGCGTTCAATCATGATCACGGTGATGACATCAGAGCGTCCACTGAAATCGGGTGCAATTTGTGGGGCGATTTATTCTGCCTAGGTACAGATTGTTGAAGAGAAAGGCAAAAAGTTTGATTGGAGGCAACTGAGTGAAAAACTCTGATGTTAATATAATGAATGGCAACAGGGAATATTTTTTATGTGTATAATATAAAATAAAAAAAAAAGAAAAAAAGAAAAAGCCCGTCGCCGACAAGAACCTTATCTAGTATAAACCGGTGCTCTAGGTCCCGATATGAGAAGAGAAAATATAAGATAAAAAAAAGTTGAAAGATGAAAATGAATACCGGAATCCGGAAGAGATCCTAGGAGCAAGCGAACAATCCGTTCCAGTGTGATCTGGTACGGTGGGTATAGATGTAATACATGCAGTCAACTCAACATACACAACCGTTTTTACACTTTTCTCTATCACCTTAATCCTTGGGTTCAGGAGTGGTGTCGCTGTCATGTTCCATTGGCGGAAGGATGTGGTCAGCAGTGCTCTTGCGGCGGATAGCATCCTCAAGATACTCTGGTTTGAGCTGTCCATTCTTATCGTAGCGATATGGTTCCTTGATCGAGTTGGTGACAGCATTAAAAACGTTCGTAGATTTCTTGAAGATACTGTCCATCTCTTCAAGGGAACGGTAGCGAGTTTCAGGGAAGAAAAGATATACGGTGGGAAAGATAAATGCGTTTCTAGCACCTGTTAGCTTCGATACTGGTGTCAGGTTGTTCGGTGAAATCTTACATAACAGCGAAAATGACATAGGTCTTGTACCCAATACTGTCGAATGCAACGGGGGTAATCATCACAACCATAAAGTTAAAGATCCAGTTGGCACTGAAGCAAAGAAGAAGTTAGTTACAAGATACCTTTGCGAAAGTAAAAGCTGAGCTGGCGGGAGGAACTTCGCTTACCTTGTTGACAACGCATTGGTTGGCGCACGGATTCGGAGCGGCACGATTTCTGCAGGGTACAGCCATGTCATTCCGAGCCAGCCGATGGCAAAGAAGGTATTGAATACGAAAAGGAAGACTGCCTGCGCGATACCAGCCTTGCTGTCATCCAAATGCGTCAACCGATAGTTGGCGCCTGCAAGGACGGCCATGGAGATCGACATGCCGGCGGCCTGAAATACAAAACTTCATTAGCTGATGTGATCATAAAACAAACTGGTCAAAGTGTGGATGGGTGATGTACCCCGAAGAGCATGAGTGGCCGACGTCCAACTTTCTCAATGATGTAGATGGGGATAAACGAAGCCATGAAGTATTCAGTGCCGTTACAAGCAGCGAGCAGCTTTGGTAAATGGCTGCCGACAAGACCGATTTGGCTATACAATTGGGGCGCCTAGTAAAAAACCACATATTAGTGATGAACCCACACCTCTTCATATCCATAAGGAATAGCTCACGTAGTATGTGATAAGGTTGATGCCGGATATCTGCTGATACATCTGCACAACGTATGCGAGCGCGACTCTGTGGAATTCACGATATTCACTCATTCTGAACAGGCTTTTGTATGTACCCTTAGACATTTCCTGAACAGTGGCTTTAATAGCTTCAAACTCAGCCGCGATAGCAGGGTCATCGCGTGATTTTTCGTTAAGGGCCTCAAGAATGTCAATTGCTTCCTCATTCCGATTTTGCATGACAAGCCATCGCGGAGACTCAGGCAAATTGAGAATGGAAATGAAAATGATCATAGCAAAGGTGATCTGAAAAGCCAATGGGAACCGCCATGCAACCTCTTGATCTCCGATCCATGCAAAGCCTATTTTCAAAATTTATCAGCGCAACATTTTTTTGCTTGACAACGATCCAAAAAGTTTCAACTCACCATAATTAACCCAGTAACTAAAAGTAATTCCTCCCGTGATCAGCGCACCCTCAATCATGATCAGTTTACCACGATCATGGGCCTTTGCTGTCTCCGATTGCCAAGTGGGCACAGTACTTGTGTTTATACCGTTGCCGATACCAGTAACAATTCGACCAATAATGAAATGAGGCAACTCATACGCCGTACACTGCAGTAAGGCGCCGATAGACATGGTGATGCAGCCAGCGAAGATAGTTTTCCGTCTGCCTAGTGGATTTCCGATGAAAATGGTGAGGATAGCCCCCAAGAAACACCCTAAGTTGTATGCTGCCACCGCAATGCCTTGGTTTGAGCTGCGCTGCGATTGTGCCACAGGGTCATCCTTGATAAGCGGGTCCAAGGGATTGATCGAGGGGAAGTATTTGTTAAAGGACGGTAGGTCTAGCAGACCACCAGTTACACCCTGATCATAACCGAAAAGACTGTTTACACCCCACAATACCAGTCAGCTTGCATTAAACAAAGAGAGAGATGTCAGCACAGTGAAACGGCAGTAAACGTACAAGAAATCGAGACTGCCGAGCGAACTGATAGCCAAATTCAAGGCCCGGCCTCGGAGACCAAAAAACTTCTTCCCAAACATTGTGACAAGAACACAGCGCGAATCACCACTGTGGAGCTTAGGGAATAAGAAACGGTATTCAAAGATTACAAGCAAGGGATGACATCCCGCAATAAATGATCGGCTGGGGTTTATGGGGTTATATATCAGACACTGGCAGTTCTCCCACGCTCTCGGAATGACAAATGTGGCAATCCGAGAC